GGAGGGCGAAAGAGAGAAACGTGCCAAAAGAGAGGCGCATCAAGCCAACCCCGACCGGGATTGCCTTCCACTTGGAAACCAATGCCCTCACTGTGGGAGAAGATGCAGATCAAGAATAGGGCTCCACAGTCACCTACTGACCCTCCCTGGAGGATTATCCTACTCGGACAAGGAGGGATCACATAAGTAAGTAAGTACTGGCTGCCAATAAGTGTCAAGTCCCAATTCAAAGTGCAGGTTATGATCTATAAAGCCTTAAATGTTTGGGTAACCCAGCAGCAGCGTAAACCAGCACCAGTAGTCCAAAGTGATAAAAAGGACTAAGACACTCAGACCAATGTTATATCTTCCATGAGGCTCAGAGGCGGCCCTAGGTAATTTTCAACGGTAAGCAAACAGTATTTTGGCACACCCCCCCCCCCAAACCAATCACTGATATATATTTTCTGTTCATCATGGGAGTTCTGTGTGCCATATTTGGTTCAATTCCATCATTGGTGGAGTTCAGAATGCTCTTTGATTGTAGGTGAACTATACATCCCAGTAACTACAACTCGCATATGTCAAGGTCTATTTTCCCCCAAGAGTGCCTCAAGAGCCCCTGGGAAAAATCAACTATACTGCAAATGCTTACTTTGCGTAATGGGTTGAGCCGCCCCTGAGGCTTTTCTTCATAGCAAAATAATATGGTTGCACTATTTACAAGGACAAGGTTTTCATAACACAAATAAAGTTCAACCTTCACACTGGAGCTTCACACACGAGGCCTTCTCATAATGAGGCCTACCTCACACTCTGAGGCCTTTCTAGGCCTACTACCATTGAGACCTATTCTCCCACTGAGGTGTTCTCTCACACAGAGAGGCTTCTCTCACACTGAGAGCTCTCTCAGACTGAGGCATTACTAAGCAACAGGCACACCTACTTATATAGAAGTATAGCTTTTGCTGAGTCATTGCATTCATTCAACCCTTTCAGTGCTTGGCTCACATTTTTGTAATTAAAAATACGAGGGGTATTTTTTAAGTAATGTCCGTTTTGTTGTAGACACTAGTAGTTCGCGCGCATACCGCAATGAGCGCGTGCATCGTGTACCGGCATGCCTCGGGAACAACTGTGCTCAGTTTCCGCTCTGTAGCTAACCTGTACGGTTCTGTTCTGTGCTTTAAAAATGTTTAAGACTATCAACTCACCCTCCGCATGTGAGGTTCGCTCAGTGATACGGTTTTTGTCAGCAAGGAACCTGCCTGCTGCAGAAATTCATCAACAGATTTGTGAAGTGTACGGTGATACTGTTATGAGTGAAAGCAAAGTGCGTAAGTGGGTACGACAATTCAAAATTTTTATTATTGTTATTGTGAAGCGCCTATTCTCATGAATCCTCACTTCAACTGAAGCCACCAAATCATCTGTAATCAAAGAAGGGCGACCGGAGCGGTCCTCATCATGGACGTTGTCACAGCCATCTTTGAATTGTCGTACCTACTTACGCACTTTGCTTTCACTCATAACAGTATCACCGTACACTTCACAAATCTGTCGATGAATTTCTGCAGCAGGCAGGTTCCTTGCTGACAAAAACCGTATCACTGAGCGAACCTCACATGCGGAGGGTGAGTTGATAGTCTTAAACATTTTTAAAGCACAGAACAGAACCGTACAGGTTAGCTACAGAGCAGAAACTGAGCACAGTTGTTCCCGAGGCATGCCGGTACACGACGCACACGCTCGTTGCGGTATGCGTGCGAACTACTAGTGTCTACAACAAAACGGACCTTACTTAAAAAATACCCCTTGTATATAATTAATTTTTAAATTTTTGACAGCTTTATCTTCAACTGGTGAGATTTCTTGATTGGGGAACATTGGGTTATAGCTTCTTAGTCTCACCAGGCACGGATCCACAGTCGGCCTGTTGCCGGTACCTGTTATCCACTTAATGGATCTCGGTATCCACGCATTGGGTTTCGCTATCCGCGATCCAGGTCTCAATGTCCGCCTCCTCTTGAATTGCTCAGTTTCAAAACTGGATTCATTCTACAGTGCAGAAACACCTTTAGTCTACCTCCTCAGGTGCTTACAAAAGCTTATGTTACCATTTGCTTTCTCAACGTTCTGCAATATCCTTTTTACATATTGGCGTTCCACATCATAGTCATATTTCGGGATGCAAGAAATGAAGGCATCGCATGGCATCTATACATAAAACAAAGAGATAATTGCAGAGGGCGTCCGTTCATTTAAATGCAGAGGGTGTCAACATTTTTGGGGGATCTGAGCAATAGAGTCAAGCTGGAGGACCTCAAGATTCCTATGTGGCTCGAATGTGTCAACTATCAGAGGATGCATTGGTGGATCCAAATGGCAGAGAGCCATTTTTGGCTTTCCTAAGGGAAATTCTCATTACACTTTAGATCAGGCATGGCAAACTTCAGCCCTCCAAGTGTTTTGGACTTCAACTCCCACAAGCTTCCCAGGCTGTTAGGAATTGTAGGAAGTTGAAGTCCAAAACACCTGGAGGGCCAGAGTTTGCCTATGCCTGATCTAAAGTGTAATGAGAATTTCCCTTAGGAAAGCCAAAAAATGGCTCTCTGCCGCCATCTGGTGCAGACAAGGAATGTTTTTAATGTTGGTTGTCCAATGTTTTTTGACTCCCTCCATCCTTTTATTTTAATCAGGGGGATAAAAAAGCACCCTGGGATTTGTAGTTTGGTGAGGCACCAGTACTCATTGGCGAGAAGGGAGTTGGAAAACCACAACTCCCACGACTCCATTGCATGGGGTCATGGGAGTTCAAGTGGAGTCAAACTGCAACAATGCTACAGTGTTGATAGTTACTTCTCTTGGAAAACTACAACTCCATAGCATGGGGTCATGGCAGTTCAAGTGTGGTCAAACTGCTACAGTTTCGATAGATACTTCTCTTGGAAAACTACACCTACCACAACTCCATTGCATTGAGTCATGGGAGTTCAAGTGCGGTCAAACTGCATCAATCTATATACCGTATATTCCGGCATATAAGACGACTGGACGTATAAGACGACCCCCAACTTTTCCAGTTAAAATATAGAGTTAAGACGACTCCCACGCATAAGACTACACCCGCGTATAAGACGACCCCTGACTTTTGAGAAGATTTTACTGGGTTAAAAAGTAGTCTTATACGCCAGAATATACTGTAAATAAAAATGTAATGTTTGTTTGTGGGATTAACAGAACTCAAAAACCACTGGGGAATTGACACCAAATTTGGACACAAGACACCTAACAACCCAATGTATGTCCTTCACTCAAAAAAATTGATTTTGTCATTTGGGAGTTGTAGTTGCTGGGATTTATAGTTCAGCTACAATCAAAGAGCATTCTGAACCCCACCAATGATGGAATTGAACCAAACTTGGCACACAGTTCTCCCATGACCAACAGAAAATACTGGAAGGGTTTGGTGGGCAGTGTCCTTTGGTTTTGGAGTTGTAGTTCACCTACATCCCGAGATCACTGTGGACTCAAACAATGATGGATCTGGACCAAACTCTACACGAATACTCAATATGCCCAAATGTGAACACTGGTAGAGTTTGGGGAAAATAGAATCTTGACATTTGGGAGTTGTAGTTGCTGGGATTTATAGTTCACCTACAATCACAGAGCATTCTGAATCCCACCGATAGAATTGGGCCAAATCTCCCACACAGAACCCCTATGTGGGCCACAGTAACGTGTGGCAGGGGACGGCTAGTGCTACAATATAGATAGATACTTCTTTTGGAAAACTACAACTCCCACAACTCCATTGCATTGAGTCATGGGAGTTCAAATGGGGTCAAACTGCATCCATGCTACAGTGTAGATAGACACGTGTCTTGGAAGACTACAACTCCCACAACTCCATTGCATTGAGTCATGGGAATTCAAGTGGGGTCAAACTGCATGAATGCTAAGTATACATCAATACTGTAGATAGATATTTTTTCTTGGAAAACGACAACTCCCACAACTCCATTGCACTGAGGCATGGCAGTTCAAGTGGGGGGGGGTCAAACCGCATCCATCCTACAGTTTAGAATAGATACTTCTCTTGGAAAGCTACAACTCCCACAACACCACTGTATTAAGTCATGGGAGTTCAAGTGGGGTCAAACTGCATCCATGCTATAGTTTAGACACGTGTCTTGGAAAACTACAACTCCCAGAACTCCCACAACTCCATTGCATTGAGTAATGGGAGTTCAAGTAGGGTCAAAGTGCATCCATGCTACAGTCTAGATAGACGCTTCTCTTGGAAAACTACAACTCACACAGCCCGATTGCATGGAGTCATGGCAGTTCAAGTGGGGTCAAACTGTATCCATGCTACAGTGAGTAGATACTACTCTTGGAAAACTACAACTCCCACAGCCCCTTTGCATTGATTCATGGCAGTTCAAGTGGGGTCAAACTGCATCCATGCTACATATAGATAGATACTGCTCTTGGAAAACTACAACTCCCACAACTTCATTGCACTGAGTCATGGGAATTCAAGTGGGGTCAAACTGCATTAATGCCAAGTATACATCGATATTGTAGATAGATATTTTTTCTTGGAAAACTACAACTCCCACGACTCCATTGCACTGGGGCGTGGCAGTTCAAGTGGAGTCGAAATGCATCCACGCTACAGTGTAGAATAGATACTTCTCTTGGAAAACTACAACTCCCACAACTCTATTGCATTGAGTCATGGGAATTCAAGTGGGGTCAAGCTGCATCCATGCTACAGTATAGATAGATACTTCTCTTGGAAAACTACAACTCCCAGGGTTTCATAGCACTGAGCCAAGACATTCAAAGTGGCGTCAAACTGCATTGATTCTATAATGTAGATGCACCCCAAGGAAAAGTGAAGCCGCTTTCCTTTCAAATGCCGTGTTAATTAATCAGCCGGCCCCTTTAAGAAATGGAACAATCAAGGGAAGAATTTGGCCGCGGCTCCTTTAAGAAGGCAGCCCGGTTCCCTTTCCTGCTTCACGCGAAGGCAGCGCTTCCGCTTGTTTCGTCTCCTGAGCGTTCGCAGAGGCTCTCACCACGCATGCGCAGCCCGGGAAGTTCTTTCTGGTCCAGGGGCTTCGATCCACGCGGGTTCTGTGCGGCGGGAGTTGCCGGCGGCTGTTATGGTGAGTCTGTGACGTCACGGTGCTGGCCATTCCATCAAGCACCCCCTCCTCCCCCCGGAAAGTTGAAGGGCATTAATTCAATGGGGTGAAACTCCTCCTTTGTTGTGATTGTTGGTCTGTTGTCTTTGGGGTCTTCTCTTAAGCAGGCACAGGGCTCGTTTGCAATTCAGGAAGGGGAACCTGCTTGCAGGGGAGTCCATGCACTGTCTAATAGGGGTGCATCAACACTGTAGAAGGAGTGCAACTTGACATCACTTTAGTTGCCATTGCTCAGTGCTATTTAATCATGGGAGTTGTAGTTTGACGAGGAAATGTTGACCATTTCCGCTCCCTTGGCAGCCACCTCTCCACCAAAGTCAACATCGACACCGAAATACAACACCGCCTGAGCTCTGCAAGTGCAGCATTTTTCCGAATGAAGCAGAGAGTGTTTGAGGACCGGGACATCCGTAGGGATACCAAGGGGCTTGTCTATAAAGCTATTGTCCTCCCAACCCTGCTCTATGCCTGTGAGACGTGGACTGTCTACAGACGTCACATGCAACTCCTGGAACGATTCCATCAGCGCTGCCTCCGGAAAATCCTGCAAATCTCTTGGGAAGACAAGCGGACAAACGTCAGCGTGCTGGAAGAAGCAAAGACCACCAGCATTGAAGCGATGGTCCTCCGCCATCAACTCCGCTGGACCGGCCACGTTGTCCAGATGCCCGACCACCGTCTCCCAAAGCAGTTGCTCTACTCCGAACTCTAGAAAGGAAAATGGAATGTTGGAGGACAGGAAAAGAGATTTAAAGATGGGCTCAAAGCCAACCTTAAAAACTCTGGCATAGACACTGTGAACTGGGAAGCCCTGGCCCTTGAGCGCTCCAGCTGGAGGTCAGCTGTGACCAGCAGTGCTGTAGAATTTGAAGAGGCACAAATGGAGGGAGACAGAGAGAAATGTTCCAAGAGGAAGACACGTCAAGCCAATCCCGACCGAGACCGCCTTCCACCTGGAAACCAATGCCCTCACTGCGGAAGAAGATGCAGAGCAAGAATAGGGCTCCACAGCCACATACGGACCCACAAGAATATTGGAAGACAATCATCCTCGGAAAGCGAGGGATTGCCAAAGAAGAAGAAGAAGTTTGGCGAGGCACCAGCTGTTATTTGGCAGAGAAGGATAAAGACCTTGCAAAACTATAACTCCCATGTATCATTTTTGCTGGTGTCAAAATGGCTACATATACCTTTAGCTTAGATCAGTGGTTCTCAACCTTCCTAATGCCGCGACCCCTTAATACGGTTCCTCATGTTGTGGTGACCCCCAACCATAACCCTAACATTATGAATCGCCATGTAAATAATGATCTGCAGGATGTATTTTCATTCACTGGAGCAAATTTGGCACAAATACCTGGTATGCCCAAATTTGACTACTGGTGGGGTTGGCGGGGGGATTGATTTTGTCATTTGGGAGTTGGAGTTGCTGAGATTTATAGTTCACATGTAAACAAAGAGCATTCTGAACCCCACCAACAATGGAATTGAACCAAACTTGGCACACAGAACTCCCATGATCAACAGAAAATACTGGAAGGGTTTGGTGGGCATTGACCTTGAGTTTGGGAGTTGTAGTTCGCCTACATCCAGAGTGCACTGTGGGCTCAAACAATGATGGATCTGGACCAAACTTGGCATGGATACTCAATATGCCCAAATGTGAACACTGATGGGGTTTGGGGAAAATAGACTTTGACATTTGGGAGTTGTAGATACTGGGATTTATAGTTCACCTACAATCAAGGAGCGTTCTGAACCCCACCAATGATAGAATTGGGCCAAACTTCCCACACAGAACCCCCATGACCAACAGAAAATACTGTGTTTTCTGATGGTCTTTGGTGACCCCTCTGACCCCCTCACCCCTTCAGGGGTCCCAACCCCCAGGTTGAGAAACACTGGCTTAGATAGATGGAGCCCCTGGTGGCACAATGGTCAGGACTGCTGACCAAAAGGTTGGTGGTTCAAAGCCAGGGAGCGGGGTGAGCTCTCCTCTGTCAGCTCCAGCTTCCCATGTGGGGGCATGAGAGATGCCTTCCACAGGATGGTAACACATCTGGGCGTCCCCTGGGCAACGTCCTTGCAGATGATCAATTCTTTCACACCAGAAGCGACTTGCAGTTTCTCAAGTCGCTCCTGACACACACACACACACACACACACACACACACACACACACACAAAAGAAGCTCAGATAAGTGATAATGCTGAAATATAACATTTACTGTGACGCAATATTCTGTTTAGAGAGAAGAACGAAAGCAACACCTGGGAACTGTACCTCCAAACAGGGACACGAGCCAGCTGTACACTGCAAAATCAATGTAGTTTGATGCCCCTTGACCATCCATGGATCAATGCTATGGAGTCCTGGGAGTTGCAGTTTGGTGAGGACCAGTTCTCTTTGGAAGAGAAGGCCAAAGACCTTAGAATAGTAGAGTTGGAAGAGACCACATGAGTCATCCAGTCCAGTCTCCTGCCATACAGGAAAACCACAATCAAAACATCCTCAACAAATGACCATTCAGTATCTTTTTAAAAGCCTCCAAAAAAGGAACTTTCATCACACTCCAAGGCAGAGAGTTCCACTGCTGAACAGCTCTTACAGTCAGGAAGTTCTTCCTAATGTTCAGGTGGAATCTCCTTTCCTGTCATTTGAACCCATTGCTCCTTGAGTCCCAGTGTCCAGAGCAGCGGAAAACAAGCCTGCTCCTTCTTCCTTATGAGAATCTTCCAGATATTTATACAAAGCAATCATGTCATTCTCTTCTTCAGGCTGAACTTTTCCAGCTCCTGAAGCCACTCCTCATAGGGATCATTTTAGTGGCTTTGTGAAACTACAACTCTCATGACCCCATAGCATTAAGCCACAGTGATGTCAAATTACATTAATTCTACACCCAGTGCTGCCGAAAAGCAACTTTTCCAAGCCCTGCGAAGCACATGGTGCTTCCTACTGGGCAGTGCAAGGAGACTATGAGGTTTTTGCTTTGTCTTTAAGTGCATGATCTTTTTTACTTCTTTGTTTACATTGTCCCTTCTCCCTGGCTACAGCTCTTCTACTCCTTCTTCAAGTCCCTGGTAGGGAAGGACGTAGTGGTCGAACTGAAGAATGACTTGAGGTAGGTCTCTATTTGCAGAGGAATTTTTGCTTTTTGGGGGTGGGAGCAAGTTAATGGACTGTCAGTTCCTAACCCATTTTCTCTGCCTTTTCCATCTTCAAAGAAGCCACAATTTGCCTCCAGTAAGCACTAACTGAGTCAGTTGCTTCACTTTGCCTAATGGCAGAACTGGCCTTGATTTAGATCAAACTTAAAGAACCAATGTAATAATAATAATAATAATAATAACAATAATAATACTTTATTTGTACCCCGCTACCATCTCCCCAAGGGACTCGGTGCGGCTTATATGAAGCCCAGCCCACAATACATCAGCAAAAACAACAACAGCAGCAATACAAAACACTAAAATGAAACTCATAAACAAAAAACAAGCAGTAAACATTAACAATAGCACAACAACGCTTAAAATCCTATGGCTGGGCCAAATGTAATAATTAAAATTTTAAAAATAATGTTGAGCATGACCAGGTGAAATATATAACAAGGATAGAATTTCGGAGAGGAAAGGGCATGCAGACAATCCTAGATCATTGATAAAGTACATTTAGGGACATATTGCTGGGAGTTTCCTTATTCTGTATCCTTTCTAATGTTCAATAATGTCTTTGCTTTCTTTTCCCTCCCTTAAATACAGCATATGTGGGACCCTGCACTCCGTGGATCAGGTACGATTGAGCCAATTCTTCTTCCCTTCTGGAGAATGCATGTGGTGTTGTTGGGTTTACACATTTATTTTATTTTATTTATGATATTTATAGCCCGTCTTTTTCAGCCATAGAGCAACTCAAGGTGCTTTACAGATTGGCACAATTCGATGTCAGGCATTCATAAAAGTGCCATTAAAAACAAACAACATTACAATATAAAACATAAATAAAAACAGTTAAAACATATAATCATCTGTGTCATCTTGTTAAAAATGTAATCAAGTAACATCATCTGGTCATTCCATGTTTATCATTCATAGTTCCATGTTATCTATTCCGCTGCTTTGCCTGTTTTGAGTGTCAAGTGGTGGCTTGCATCTGTGAAAAAAACATTGCAGAAAGGGGTTTATTATGTCCTTATATACACTTCTCTTTCCTTTTCTTGAAATACAGTACCTGAATATCAAGCTCACAGACATCAGTGTAACAGATCCAGAAAAATACCCTCATATGGTGAGTCTTACACCTAGGCTGATGGGAGCTGTGGTTGCTTCTGGGGCTAACAGCGGGAGCTCACCCCACTCCCCAGATTCGAACCGCCGATCTTTCGGTTAACAAGTTTAGCAGCTTGGTGGTTTAACCCGCTGTACCACCGGGGTCTCCTTTTTTTAAAGTAACCTAGTAATTTTTCCTGGCTCTGGATTTTTGAATCCTGTGGTACATCCAGGCATGGGCAAACTTGAGCCCTCCAGGTGTTTTGGACTTCAGTTCCCACAGTTCCAAACAGTGAGTAGGCTGTTAGGAATTGGAGGAGTTGAAGTCCAAAACACATAGAGGGCTCAAGTTTGCCCATGCCTGATCTATACTGTAGAATGAATACAGTTTGACCCCACTTTGTTATGGCTGAATGCTATAGAATCATAGGATTTGTTGTTTTGTAAAATCTTTAGCCTTCTTTGTTAAAGAGTGCCAGCACCTCATCAAATTGCAGTTCCCATAGGATTGAGCCATTGCAGTTAAAGTGGGGTCAAGTTGCTTTAATTCTACAGTGTAGCATCCTAATCTGGCACTCAAACCACTATGCAAGCTCATGTAGATCTCTGTGTGCTGCCTTTCAGGGCAAGACATAAAAATGAAGACGTTATTTAAAGGCAGTTCCATTGTTCTGAATAAACCAAAAATATCACAATAACAAACAAAATGCATCTTTTCTTCCTCCGACCAGCTGTCTGTCAAGAACTGCTTCATCCGCGGCTCTGTTGTTCGCTATGTTCAGCTTCCAGCTGATGAAGTCGACACCCAACTTCTGCAGGATGCCGCACGAAAGGAGGCCCTCCAGCAGAAGCAGTGACACCTTCCTTCTTTTTTCTCCCTTTCCACCCTAATTTCCCCCCAGAAGTGCTGGAAGAAAGCTAAACCAGCTTCTTTATGGGAGGGAACCAGCAGTGTGTGTGTGTATATGTGTCTGTATGTGGGTACATTCAAGTGTACTGTTGGGTGAGAAAATCCATGTGAATATTTTCCATTTCTTTTGTCCCTCCCAGAGGCAACTCTAGTGGGGGAATATTGTATTCTGTTTCCACTACACGGATGAAACCCATTACTGGGATAACACCAGTGCTTTTTGTTTTCTAAACTCCTATTGCTAGTAGCTCAATTTTTGTTTTTCTACCGAACTCTCCCTCTGTCCCATTCAGCATTTCATTTCTGTAGCACTGTTTACTGCTGAGAAAGTATCTCTCAGCAAAGGTCTGTTTCCATATTAATGTATAAAAGAAATGCATGCAGACACTTCTGTAATACATCCTCCCAGTTGTCCTCCAGGAATGTTGGGATACAATCACAACAATCCTTTTTAGCTAAAATGGAGAATGTTGTGAATGTTGTAGTCCAACATATCTGAAGGAGCCTTAGTTGGAGGAGATTGCTTTAGTCTTCCTCTTCTATACAATGGTCACAAAGGATGGCTAAAAGCTAGACTGTCTTTTGGCTACAAGCTCTTTCCAGTTTTCTCTTGTCTAACCTCAAAAAGGTAAATTTGGGAAGTGTTTGAAGTCATTCGAGATTTTGTCTTTGGATACCACCCTTTTTGTTGATAATTTAAAAACACGCTGAAGGACTCTTGCAGAACCTTTGGTGCCAACATCATTTCTGTCCCATAATCTTATTTTATTCCATCCAGTGTTCACCTGTAATCTCTTAATAAGAGTGATATATTCAAATAAATTTTTGTCTTTTGGGCCTCTAAAGGATACTAGCAGCCTAGGTCCACTACCTTTCTGAAGCAAGAGAAGTTTGCTACTTCATTGGTTTTGTTCCTGCAAAAAGAGTGAAACAACGCATATTCGTGCTTCTGAAGTTTTGTTATCCTAGTGATTTCCATCCAGGGGTGTGTGGGATGACTTTTTTGTATTTACAAGGGATGTTTTGAAAAAGAAATATGTAACATTTAAACTATGGAAGAATAAAATGTTGAATTTGAAAGACTGGTTGCTCTGAGTATCAAAGATAGGCACAATATCATATAAACAATGAATGTAAATAGATGTTGCAGACACTTATTTTTTTCTGAGAGAATACTTCCTAGAAATACCTAGGCCTTCTAATTGAATTATTAAGGGTAAGACATGACTAATCAAATCTGCAAATCCTCACCTTCAAATATAGAGAATTATGGATATGCATAGAACACACATTTTTCCTTTGCTTATTTATTTACAGTATTTATATTCCGCCTTTCTCATCCCGAAGGGGACTCAGGGTGGATAAGAGAACACATATTCAGCAAATATTCAATGCCGATTATACAATGACAAGACAGGCAACAGGTAGAGGTATTATATCAGCTTTTTCCCGTCTTTTCGGCATCTTTGGAGGCTGTGCTCAGTTCCGGCCATGGGGATGTTGTCGCTCCATCTCCTTGCTGAAGAGCATTCTTCGTTGGTAAACTTTTTTCTTCTTTTTTATCTGATTGAAAAGCTGTGCTTAGAATACCTCCCAATTTTAAGGCAGTTCCTGTTTATCTACTATTTGCTGTTTTTGATCTGCTCGTTGGGCGGGTAGTTGGGCTGAAGGTCAGGAGCTCACCCTGACCCGGCTTTGAACTGTCAACCTTTTGGTTGGAAACCAAGATTTATTGCAGCTACAGCTGGCGATTAACCTGCTGTGCTAAAGCCAGCTTATGTAGTTTGAGGCAGCTCTCCCTAGAAACCAGGATGACTAAACAGAGAGTGCTGCACTTTCAGCATATCATATGGAGTCCCCGGTGGCGCAGTGGGTTAAACACCTGTGCCGGCAGGACTGAAAACCGACAGGTTGCAGGTTCGAATCTGGAGAGAGGCGTATGAGTTCCCTCTATCATCTCCAGCTCCTCATGCGGGGACATGAGAGAAGCCTCCCACAAGGATGATAAAAACATCAAATCATCTGGGCGTCCCCTGGGCAACGTCCTTGCAGACGGCCAATTCTCTCACACCAGAAGCGACTTGCAATTTCTCAAGTCACTCCTGACACGACAAAAAAAAACACCCATGGCCGTAAGGATTGACTTGCTAGGAAATACAACACTATGCAACATGATTTTTGGTCCTGGGTTATAAATGTCATTTCCTAATTGGTTTGATCTTAAAAACAAGGAAAATGATTATTAAACTTCAAAAAATTGTTTTTGCAAGACATCCTGCAGCACATTTTGCTATAGTTTTTCAATGAATATCTCTAGTCTCAATCAATTCACCGTACTTTGTGGCAGTCACAAAAATGAAGTTTCTGGACTATAACAACAATTTTCAAAGTAAGTACCACATACTTAAACAGGAAATAACACTTTCAAATCAGGAACACATTTTTTATGCGGTTTCTCAAGTCACTCCTGACATGAAAAAAAATCACTTTGCCATTGGTCTTGTTTAGCTGGGGAACATGGGAAACAAAAAGATTAGGGCAAACCATATTATTCTATCTCTATGATTACACACCACAGTATTTTTAAAAAGCCCTACTAATCACACATAGTGTTTATTACTTAGGCAATCCCTTGTAGTCCGAGTAGGATTGTCATCCAAGATTGGTGTACTGGCGGTGGGTCCGTAGGTGACTGTGGAGCCCTATTCTTGATCTGCATCTTCTCCTGAAGTGAGGGCATTGGTTTCCAGGTGGAAGGCGGTCCCGGTCGGGATTGGCTTGACGTCCTCTTGGCACGTTTCTCTCTTTCGCCCTCCATTCGTGCCTCTTCAAATTCTGCAGCACTGCTGGTCACAGCTGACCTCCAGCTGGAGCGCTCACAGGCCAGGGCTTCCCAGTTCTCAGTGTCTATGCCAGAGTTTTTAAGGTTGGCTTTGAGCCCATCTTTAAATCTCTTTTCCTGTCCACCAACATTCTGTTTTCCATTCTTGAGTTCGGAGTAGAGCAACTGCTTTGGGAGACGGTGGCATCCGGACAACATGGCCGGTCCAGTGGAGTTGATGGCGGAGGACCATTGCTTCAGTGCTGGTGGTCTTTGCTTCTTCCTGCACACTGACATTTGTCCACTTGTCTTCCCAAGAGATTTGCAGGATTTTCTGGAGGCAACGCTGATGGAATCGTTCCAAGAGTTGTATGTGACATCTGTAGACAGTCTACATCTTGCAGGTGTATAGCACGGTTGGGGGACAATAGCTTTATAAACACTTGGGAGGGAGTTCCATAGCCGAGGAGCCACCACAGAGAAGGAACCAGGCTTTTGGCTAATGGATATAACAGCACCTGAACAGTGAATTGGACCAGACGGTTGTTATAATGGAACTGCCTTTATGATTGGATAACTAATGTTGTTTTAATGTATTATATTGTATGATTTTGGGTTGTAGGTTTTTTCGGGCTATATGGCCATGGTCTAGAGGCATTTCCTCCTGACGTTTCGCCTGCATCTATGGCAAGCATCCTCAGAGGTAGTGAGGTCTGATAGATACAGGCGAAACGTCAGGAGAGAATGCCTCTAGACCATGGCCATATAGCCCAAAAAAACCTACAACAACCCAGTGTTTCTGGCCATGAAAGTCTTCGACATTGTATGATTTTATTTTGCTTTTATAATTGTAATTATTGCAGCATCAAATCGTTGCCATTGTTAGCTGCTCTGAGTTCTCCTGTGGGGGTGAGAAGAGCGGGGTAGAAATGCTGTAAATTAATAAATAAAATATCCCTTGTCCCCACCAGACAGGATTTTGACAATGGGGAGACAACGAGCAGGGTCTCCCCGGATGATTTTTGGGCCCTAGGTGGATCGTAGCGGGAGATACGTTTGGACAGGTAAACTGGCCCACAACCGTTCAGGTCTTCTTTTGAATGCGCACAGATGACGTTGTCATCAGCATACTGGAGTTCTATAACAGATGTTGTTGTAACCTTGGTTTTGGCTGTCAGTCTGCTGAGGTTTGAGAAAATTTGACTCAAATCATAGAATCATAGAATCAAAGAGTTGGAAGAGACCTCATGGTCCATCCAGTCCAACCCCCTGCTAAGAAGCAGGAATGTTGCATTCAAATCACCCCTGACAGATGGCCATCCAGCCTCTGTTTAAAAGCTTCCAAAGAAGGAGCCTCCACCACACTCCGGGGCAGAGAGTTCCACTGCTGAACGGCTCTCACAGTCAGGAAGTTCTTTCTCATGTTAAGATGGAATCTCCTTTCTTGTAGTTTGAAGCCATTGTTTCATGTCCTAGTCTCCAAGGAAGCAGAAAACAAGCTTGCTCCCTCCCTGTGGCTTCCTCTCACATATTTATACATGGCTATCATATCTCCTCTCAGCCTTCTCTTCTTCAGGCTAAACATGCCCAACTCCTTAAGCCGCTCCTCATAGGACTTGTTCTCCAGACCCTTGATCATTTTAGTCGCCCTCCTCTGGACACATTCCATCTATCTGTACGATAGATGGTTTCCACTCTGTGAGAAGCTTCCCATCCACAAGATGAAGTATCATAGCTATTTCCCATAGTGTTTATTATAGAGATATCAATGCTGAGAAATCTCACTATATACATTTATGGGATAATAGTCTCCTAATAAGAGAACTTTGCCCGGAAGTTCTGCATCTGTATCACTCTAACTGTTTTTCTCTGTGGTCAGTTTTAGACTTTTTGTCACTCCAACCAATAAGAATAGGACCCTGCGAAGGGCTGTCTAAGCAACTGCCTTTGTGAAAAAATAAATCCCCATTCACTCGAGTGTGCATGATGCAACTGGTTTGTAATCATTAGGAGTGAAGGCTCTCCTTCCTTCTAAGAGAGGAAGCGGTGTCCAATTGCATTACTTCTACAGTGTAAATGTACTCAAAAGGCAAAGGGACATTACATTGCTGTTTTCTTAACTTTGCGCTGCATAGGATTCCTCCTGCTTGCAGATACACGAGACAGGCATTGCTGTAGACGCCTACAGAAGGGGTCCTTCCTCCAAAAGAGAAAGCAGCACGTGGGGGAGAGGCTGGGACCGGCTGGCAGTGCAGGTAAGAAGGAAGCCCTTCCTCTCCCCATTCCCTGCTGGGACCCTCCCAACTATTCAATAAGTACTTCCCCTTCTTTAGCCTGTGCTGTCAAAGTCTTTTCCCTACTTCCAAGAGACTTGGATTTTCTGCTTCTTCCCTTTGCAGTTCATTGCAGCTCTGAGTGCATCTACATTGTGGAATTAATGCAATTTGATACCACTTGAACTGCCAAGGCTCAGTGCTCTGGAATCCTGGGAGTTGCAGTTTGTAAAGTCTTTAGTTATTCTTGCCCCACCAAACTACAACACCCAGGATCCCATACCATTGATAGATGGCACTCAAAGTGGTGTCAAACTGCATTAATGATTCAGTGTAGACATTAATTCCCAGTTGTCAGTTTAAAGAATCCACATCTTGTCAGATCTTTGAAACTATAATCCTAGAGTTGGAAGAGACCTCATGGGCCATCCAGTCCAACCCCCTGCCAAGAAACAGGAATATTGCATTCAAAGCACCCCCGACAGATGGCCATCCAGCTTCTGTTTAAAAGCTTCCAAAAGAAGGAGCCTTTACCACACTCCGGGGCAGAGAGTTCCACTGCTGAACGGCTCTCACAGTCAGGAAGTTCTTCCTAATGTTCAGATGGAATCTCCTTTCATAGAATCATAGAGTTGGAAGAGACCTCATGGGCCATCCAGTCCAACCCCCTGCCAAGAAGCAGGAAAATTGCATTCCCAGCATCCCCGACAGATGGCTATCCAGCCTCTGTTTAAAAGCTTCCAAAAGAAGGAGCCTTTACCACGCTCTGTGGCAGAGAGTTCCACTGCTGAACGGCTCTCACAGTCAGGAAGTTCTTCCTAATGTTCAGATGGAATCTCCTTTCATAGAATCATAGATTTGGAAGAGACCTTATTGGCCATACAGTCCAACCCCCTGCCAAGAAGCAGGAAAATTGCATTCCAAGCATCCCCGACAGATGGCCATCCAGCTTCTGTTTAAAAGCCTCCAAAGAAGGAGACTTTACCATACTCCAGGGCAGAGATTTCCACTGCTGAACAGCTCTCACAGTCAAGAAGTTCTTCTTCATGTTCAGGTGGCATCTCCTTTCTTGTAGTTTGAAGCCATAACTCCGCATCCTAGTCTCCAGGGCAACAGAAAATAAGCTTGCTCCTTCCTCCCTGTGGCTTCCTCTCACATATTTATGGCTATCATGTCTCCTCTCAGCCTTTTCTTCTTCGGGCTAAATATGCTCAGGTCTTTAAGCCGCTCCTCATAGGGCTTGTTCTCCAGACCCCAGATCATTTCAGTCATCCTTCTCTGGACGCATTCCAGTTTGTCAATATCTCTCTTCAGTTGTGGTGCCCAGAATTGGACACAATATTCCAGGTGTGGTCTGACCAAGGCAGAATAGAGGGGTAGCATGACTTCCCTGGATCTAGGCACTATACTCCTATTGATGCAGGCCGAAATCCCATTGGCTTTTTTTTTTTGCCGCCACATCACATTATTGGGTCATGTTTGACTTGTTGTCCACGAGGACTCCAAGATCTTTTTTACACGTACTGCTCTCGAGCCTCGCCTCCCCCATTCTGTATCTTTGCATTTCATTTTTTCTACCTCAGTGAAGTATCTTGCAACTAAGCAGGGTCAGCTCTATTTCGCCCTTGCAAGGATGCTGTAGTGCAGGCATGGGCTGTTAGGAATTGTGGGAGTTGAAGTCCAAAACACCTGGAGGGCCAAATTTTGGCCATGCCTGCTGTAGTGTGTTCAAAAGAAGGAACGGGCAAAACCACATCTTGAATATTCCTTGCCTGAGAAAAACATACGAAATTAATGGTTAGTCATGAGTCCATAGTCAGACTTGAAGGCACACATACAAATATAGGCAATCCCTGAGTTACAGCCATCCGACTCATAGTCAAGAATGGAGGTGAGACAACAAGAACTGAGAGAAATCTACTTATAGGAAGGGAATTTTATTCCTGGGGGAGTTATCATGGGGAAAAGGTGTCTCCGTTGAAGCTTTCTCACCCATCCTTGTTTCCACAATAAGTCATAATATTCAAATTCCACACCTGGAATACTGTGTCCAATTCTGGCCATCGCAATTCAAGGGAGATGTTGACAAGCTGGAATGTGTCAAGAGGAGGGTCTGGAGAAAAAGCCCTATGAGGAGCGGCTTAAAGAGCTGGGCGTGTTTAGCTGCAGTAGAGAAGTCTGAGAGGAGACATGATGAGAGCCATTTATAAACATGTGGGGGGGGGACATCATAGGGAGGAGGGAGCAGGCTTGTTATGGGATAACTGTATATAAAAAACTGGGAATATTTTATCCTTCATAGAATACTCCTTGGGACCTATTGTTTACCTCCATCCTAATGCCTGAAGATCTAAGGGTGCATTTATGCTATAGAATTAATGTAGATTTAACTCCACTTTAACTGCCTTGGCTCAATGCTATGGAATTTTGAGAGTTGTAGTTTTACAAGGTTTCAGTCTTCTTGCCAAAGGGAGATAGTGCTTCATCAAATAAAAAATCCTGGATTCCCAAACATTGAACCATGGTATCAAATTGCAATTATTCAGCAGTTTTGATGCACTGTATTATAGAAAAGATACCCGAGTCCTAGAGCCATCTGGATAGCATCTCAAGCATAAAAATAATGATTTAGAACAAATTTAGGAGAGTTCCTGAAAAATTAGATTCCTTTCTTTCCTGGATTCAGATAGTTGAGGTAATAACATTTCCTCCTCCTATCTCTTGGGACACCCTCTTTTCCCCATATGGCACTGCAGAAGTATTTTCACTCCCTCTCTCCTCTCAGCATAATATAACTATCATGCACAGTGTTTATATTTATTCTCTACACAGACATATAGCATACATTCAGGAAAGGTGGAGAAAACACTGGCTTTTGTTCCTCTTGAGTCATTGAGTTCCTCTTTTCACCTTAAAAAAAGAAACGGATGCATCACTGAAAGATTTGCTGAATGTTGCATCTTCCTAGGCCCTTCTATACTGCCATATAATACAGATTTTCAAAGGAGATAATTCACATTATCTGCTTTGACCTGGATTATATGAACCTACACTGCCATATAATCCAACTCAAAGCAGATAATCTGGATTTTATATATCAGGGTGGATGTGTTGAGGATTCCTCGTCAGAAGAGGAAGGGGAGCAGGGAGGTGCTCAAGTCTTGGAGGGAGAGGAAGAAGAATCCGACAATGAGGTTTTGCAGGTGCCTACTTTTGTAGAAAGACGGAGGAAGTCAGAGAACAGGCTGCGGTCAGCTGCTAAAAGATTGATGAGCTAATTGGGTGACACGGTAAGCCCTCCTGTGTGGAGTATAAATCAGAAGCAGGAGAACTTAGCTTTTTGCTGCTAACAGCAACTCTGTTACTGTCATAACCTGCTTTGTGTTAAAGACTTTGTGATCTGTGCCTTACTGTCTGCTGATTTTGCTGGGAATTTTTCAAAAGACTTTCATTGGTGTCTGTAGTAAGACTTTCTTGTTTTCTTTTTCAATTGCATTTGCTTACGGTATTTTGTTTGCTGGAGTAAAGCATTTTTCTTTTACTTTCAGTTTTGTATTGAGGCTGTTTTTAAAGAGCAAAACAGGACAGGATGGGACCTGTGACAGTTTGACCCCTCTTGAAATTATTGCTCACAGGACAACTTAAAAATCAACTATTTATTTATTTTATTTACAGCATTTATATTCCACCCTTCTCACCCCGCAAGGGACTCAGGGCAGATTACAGTGTAGACATATATGGCAAACATTCAATGCCAAAGACATACAACAGATATAGACAGTCAGAGCCTATTTAACTTTTCTGGCCGCCAGGAGAGCTGTCGCTTTCATTGTCCATCTGTGACACTGATGAAGTACTTCCGCATTCCCTGCATGCTTTTGCTGGAGTGCTTTGCTGGAGACTTTTTTTTATGGCCTCGTAAATTAGTTAAATTAGGCCCCCCACACAAAGGTGATACCTAACTGTCTTTCGGGTTGCAAAGGTCGACAACAAACTACACAATTGGCCGGAAGCTCACTCCCACCCGGGCTCGCTTTGAACTCATGACCTTTTGGTCAGAAGTGATCTTAATGCAGCTGACACTCAAACAGCTGCTCCACAGTCCCGGTGCAACTATGGGAAATCTAAAGTTCTAAAGACCTAAATCTAAAGACCTCACCTCTGAGGATGCTTGCCATAGATACAGGCGAAACGTCAGGAGAAATGCCTCTAGAACATGGCCATATAGCCCGAAAAAACCCACAAGAACTGAATCTAAAGTTCTGTTTTTTTTATTTCCCCATGCTGATGGTCCCTCAATGGGCATATTTTAGAACAGGCTAGAAACTTCCAATACCTGGGGTTGACTTTCTGTCACATAATGTCCTGGATCTCTCATATATCTGCTACTTCCCAGAAAGCTCAAGTAAGCAGATTAGCCATCTTGCGCTTTAGTCTTACCAAAGGAGGTTAGTATATACCATCTGCTGTTAAAGTTTTTAAAGCTAAGACAGCCTCCCAGCTGTTGTATGCTTCCAATATTTAGATTGAGCGCTTAACATCTCAGCTAAACAAGCAACAATTAATTTCCTTGACAGCTCTCTTTCAGTTCTCCAGTTGTGTTCCAACTTGCATCTTGCTGCTAGAATTTGGGAGCTTGGTGGTTGGCTCTTAAATACTGACTCAAGATTAGTGTTTTTGGTTTGTGTCCAGGTCAAATTTACCATCTATCTCAGGATGAGTATACAGGTTGATGGTCTAGGGTTATTTTTTTTAAAATGCCTCTTCCATTAGCCTTTCTGCATTCATTTTAACTCGCCTAGGTTTTGACTTGGCACTTAAACCAAGCGAAAACTGTGGGACATTGCCTTCTGTAAGTTGTACTCCAACTCATATGTTTCTTGTTCCCCTAGTACCATGATGGTGAATCTATGACACGCGTGTCAGCACTGACACGCATGGCTATTTTTGATGACACGCAGACACATGCGGCCACATACAGAGAAATACACCTTATAAGAGCCAATCTAATTCCATCTTTAAATTTGTAAAAGGCTCTCAAATTTAACAACTGCACATTTGAGCATAGTTCACTCCATAACTCAGCATGGATTATACATTTTTCTTATTTAAACTATAAATATTGCAAAATTATGGTTTTTTTTTTTCTCAAAGTGACACTCCACCCAAATTATGCTCAGGTTTTTGGCAATTTTTGACACACCAAGCTCAAAAGGTTGCCCATCACTGCCCTAGTATGTTGTGTATACACTACACAGGGCTACTCCACAGAGCCAATTTTCTGTTCCTGGTTTGTAAGTCTTATTTCCTGTTTAATTGTGCAGTACTTAATTTGAAGGTAGTTGTTATACTCCAGAAACTTCATTTTTGTGGTTGCCACAAACTATGTTGAAATGGTCACGACTCTATGAGATGCTCATTGAAAAACTATAACAAAATGTACTGCAGGATGTCCCGCAAAAATAAAGTTTTTGCAGTTTAAGAAACCTTTCCCATGTTTTCATGATAGAACCAATTTGGAAATGACATTTATAACCCAGGAACAAAACGTGTGTTACATAGTGTTATCTAAAGAATCTGACTATTGCCAAATACTGCCTATTTACCAAGGCAAGATGTCACATATTCCCCTCAGGAATGCTTTGAGGCAAGTGCAAGTGTTCTATATCAAGTGTTCTATATCAATTTGCAAGTGTTCTATATCATGCAAGACTTTGCCCAGGAAGTAGAATGTCTGAAACATATATGATTGTCCTGAAGCTTTTGCAAGCAGGCTTGACAACATATTATTAACCCATTGCCAAGCAACCTACCTGGTAGGTCAGCTGAATTCTATGTCAAGTTTTTACTGGAAGATAATCTTCCTCGTGTGCCTTTGGACATTATGAAGTTTCTCTCAGGGGTAGCCAGGATAAGAAATCTTCCTGCTCTAGACTCAAGATGAAACTAGCCTTTGCATTAATCCATATGTACCTTGTATTTTCTTGTGTTTTAACCAGTGTATTAATCTGTATGCACTTGAATATCTTCGATGTTCGAGCTGCCTGGGTCTGTAATAAAGCTTGTGGTTGTCATAATTTAAGTATTCCCCATTGGACCAAATCAGATTGGGGTGCCTCTGGCTTGCCAGATATACTAGATGTATAAGGATCTGTGTCTCAAGGGCTGATCCTTCATCTCTAACTCTTCCTTGTTTTTTGTTTGCAGGACACACTGTCTCCTCACCATGCCGACCCTATATCTTTCCCCACATCCTGACAACTTCCAGAATCTCTGTGTGCTTGTTGCAGCCCGTTATGGCCATCACGAGCCCAAGGTGGTCAATCTGCCCCCTGACACGGAGCTGGAGAACCCTTCCATCTCCATCCCCAAGCTCCCAGCTCTGGAGATGCAAGCTGGCATCTATGTGTCTGGGCCTGCGGCTGTCTCCTACCTCCTCTCCTCAGATGCCTTGAGAGGGCAAGGTCCTGAAGCCAGTGCCTTGGTCCGGCAGTGGATCAGCTTCGCCAACTTGGAAGTGGCTCCTGCTGCTTGTGCAGCGGCTTTTTCAGTGTTGGGGGTCTCCAAGCAAAATAAACAGGTAAGCACTGGGAGATGTGCGTCTTGCCGATGTAGTGCACTGCAGTTACTCAATGAATATTTTTGGAAAATGGCATTCATAACCATTTGAAGATCATAACCTTTTGGAAAAGCATGACCTTTCAGAGAAGAGCCAAAAACCCATTTGAGTAGAATCTCCTCAAGTGGTACATGACCAGATGTAATTATTCAAGGCAATTTACCTTTTAATTGTTAGACTGATAACCTGTTGAGTCTGATCTGTTAGGAAACAGAGAATATGCCTGCACAAAATAGCAGTGCATCAGAAGTGTTTTTCAGTTGCCCAAAAATACATCTATTCTCCGATAAAACAACTTGTTTTATGGGTTGTTGTGAGGTTTTTCGGGCTATATGGCCATGTTCTAGAAGCATTAGAAACATAGAGCAAAGGAAATATAGTTGCATATCAGAACATATGCCTGGTCTACACTGACCATATAATGCAGTTTCAGACTGCATGATATGCCAGTGTAGATGCCGTGCAGAGTTGTGAGGAAGAAGAGGGGAGAAACAGAGCCATGTCTGCTGCTTTGAGCTCATTAGAAGAAAGATGAATGAATGAATCAAGCAAACAAATATCATAAATAGTTTGAGAGGAGGGATACAATTTAAGCATTGATACCAGTGAAGGCTGCGTTCTGTATGTAAGTCCTGTTTCACTCTCTCCTCCTGTGCAGGTGACTGATCGTGCTCTGGCAGAACTTCGAAATCTCCTTGGGGTGCTGGACGGTCACCTGAAACTCCGGACATACCTGGTGGGGGAAGCTGTGACGCTGGCTGACGTGACAGTTGCTTGTGCTCTGCTACTGCCGTATAAATACGTGAGTTTCCTTGCTCTTTCATGTCCTCAATAGGGAGTCTCAATGTACACTAGGCCTGTAGATTATCCAAGGGATCCATTCTTGGACCTGCTGTGTTATATGATTGTCTGAAACTCTATTTTTTTTTCCTAAAATGAACAATAACTAGTGCTTCCAGCTTTGAAGCTCACTATAAAATTTTGCCAGAAGACCTAAGGATGCCTACAGAAGTGATTTTTCTAACCTTCCTGCCCAGTTCTATAGTCAACATCCACTTTTCTAGGCCTTGCTAGGCCTTCCAGAGTGATTGTATGGTATTTAAAACTCAGTGTTTGTAAATGGAACCACATTCAACAAGCCCATGGAAAAGCAGGACTATTATTTAAACTACTGATGCCTCAATTAATATTATTCGTATATATTTTTATTTTGAAATTTGCCAATAGCTGCTGCATTTCCACCCTTGGCTTACACTCAAGTCAATATGTTTTCCCAGTTTTTTGTGGTAAAACTAGGTGCCTCGGCTTAAGTTTAGGTCGGCTTATACTCAAGTATATGGTAACTATTTAGAGTTCTGTAGGACAAAGAGTAAATCAATGAGAAATGCCCTTGTGTTCTGTCTGCATTCTTTGGACAGGAGGAAAGCCTCATTTCTTAGGTTTATAGTTTGATGAGGCACCAGCACTCTTTGGCAGAGAAGGTTAAAGCCCTTATAAAACTGGAAGTCCCATGCTTCTGTAGCATTTTGAACCATAGCAGTTAAAATTAATTACTAGGTGCACCTTTAGTTATGTGAAATGTTATTCATAACTTAAAAAATATTTCATGTAGTAATAACCCCCACTTCCCAGTTCATCTTATTTATCATGGTATCTTGCTACATAATCAGTTTGCAAATTGTTATAATTGTTTTTATCATTTACTAGCCGTCCCCTGCCATGCGTTGCTGTGGTCCAGTCTGGTGATATGGAAAATAAAGTAATTAGAAAGTGTTGGTTTCTAATATATGTATTTTTTTATGCTTGTGGATAAACAGTATTTCTTGCTGTTTCTTTGTCAGTGTTGTTTAGTTTGCCTACTCTGGAACATGGAACATGTCCTTCTTTAGGGGTCTATTTCAAATCAATGATACTATATCTGTGTGTGTGTGAATCATATAGATATTACTATATCTATGGGTGGGTGGCTCTTTGTCAGGAGGGCTTTGGTTACGTTTTCCTGCCCTGGTGAAGGGAGTTGGACTGGATGGCCATAAGTATATTCTGTTGGGTCATGGGGGTTCTGTGTTGGAAGTTTGTCCCAATTCTGATGTTAGTGGGGCTCAGAATGCTCTTTGATTGTAGGAGAAATATAAATCCCAATATCTACAACTCCCAAACGTCAGTGTCTATTTTCCCCAAACTCCATCTGTGTTCATATTTGGGCATATAGAATATTCGTGCCAAGTTTGGACCAGATCCAACATTGTTTGAGTCCACGGTGTTCTCTGGATGTAGGTGAACTACAACTCTCAAACTCAAGGTCAATGCCCAACAAACCTTTCTAGTGTTTTCTGTTGGTCATGGGGGTCCTGTGTGCCATGTTTGGTTAAATTCCATCATTGGTGGAGTTCAGAATGCTTTTTGATGGTAGGTTAACTATAAATCCCAGGAACTACAATTCCCAAATTACAAAATCAATTTTTTGAGTGATGGTCACCCCTTGGGTTGGTAGATGTCTTGTGGCCAAATTTGGCGGCAATTTGTCCAGTGGTTTTTGAGTTATGTTAATCCCACAAATGAACATTACATTTTTATTTATATAGATTACTGTTGTTGGCATTGAATGAATGCCTGTTGTGAAGCCGCCCCGAGTCCCCCTCTGGGGGATGAAAAGGATAGGATACAAATATGTGAAATAAATAAATAAATAAAATACTTGTATCCTTTGTTTCCTAGGTCCTAGACCAAGCTCTTCGCTCTTCTTACACCAATGTTACCCGTTGGTTCCTCACCTGCATCAACCAGCCAGAATTCCAAGCTGTTCTGGGTCCAGTGAAGCTGTGTGAGCAGGCGCTTGGAGCCGATCCCTCAAAACAGAATCTCAGAGGTGAGGCTTTTATGAATTTACAGGGAGTTTCAAAGTGATGGACCCAATTTCAAAGCAGCCTATTTCATTATGGCAACCTATTATGACTTACACATAAAGTTACGAAACAGTTTAACGAGTTATCAAGTTTTACTAACCATTTTGATCCAGAAACAAATCGAAAAAAATAATTCCAAAATTGAGAATATCTCATTAGGCGTTCTGTTGCAGGGGTACAATTTTTTTTAAACAACCAATCAGAATGCGATCAGAGAGAGAGAGCGCAAAATATTTACATTCCAACTGTCATTCAGGAGACATGATGGAAGGGAAATCCTTAGTCTATACCAGCATTTCCCAACCTGGGGGTCAGGACCCCTAGGGTGGTTGTCAAAGATCATCAGAAAACACAGTATTTTCTATTGGTCACGGGGATTCTGTGTGGGATGTTTGTCCCAATTCTATCATTGGTGGGGTTCAGAATGCTCTTTGATTGTAGGTGAACTATAAATCCCAGCAACTACAAATCCCAAATGTCAAGGTTTATTTTCCGCAAATTCCACCAGTGTTCACATTTGGGTATATTGAGTATTTGTCCCAAGTTTGGTTCAGATCCATCACTGTTTGAGTTCACAGTGCTCTCTGGATGTAGGTGAACTACAACTCCCAAACTCAAGTGCCCACCAAACTCTTTCAGTATTGGTCGTGGAAGTTTTGTGTGCCAAATTGGTTGAGTTCAGAATGCTCTTTGATTGTAGGTGAACTATAAATCCCAGCACCTACAACTCCCAAATGACAAAATCACGCTCCCCCCCCCACCCCACCAGTATTCAAATTTGGGCAAAACGGGTGTTTGTACCAAATTTGGTCCAGTGAATGAAAAGACATCCTGCATATCAAATATTTACATTAGAATTCGTAACAGTAGCAAAATTACAGTTATGAAGTAGCAACGAAAATGTTATGGTTGGGGGTCATCACAACATGGGGAACTGTATTAAGGGGTCATGGCATTAGGAAGGTTGAGAATCACTAGGCTATACTAAACTAACTAAACTGTTCCTCTTTGAGGACTTGAAACTTGGACAGTGTGGGATTGAATCCCAACAAGTAGGTCTACAATTCCCATCATCCATGCACCTGTTCAATAAGCCCACCTAGTGGACAGAGCATACTTCTCTTCTGTGCAGCCATGAAAGTCATTGTCTGGTTATGGTTAAAGTTTGTTAACAATGGTGAATAAACTCATTTGGTCTGTCTCCTTTCCCCAAAGAATCAGCCACAGGCTCTGAAACTCAGTTGCCAGAGCAGAAGGACTTAACAGAGCCACCCCCGAAAAGCGCATCTCAACTGAAAAAAGAAGCAAAAAAGAAAGAAAAACTGGAAAAGTTTCAACAAAAGAAAGAAAAAAGCCAACAGCAGCAGCAAGGCGAAGTAAGAAATGTCGAGCAGAAGTATGTGTAAATATGCTAGCAAAATAGGAAGTGGGACTCCACCATTGGTGGATGATTGTGGAGAGTGTTACACACCCATCCCAGAAAAATAGTTATGCATATAACTGGCTTTACTACAGGGATAGATTACACTATCTAACATGATTGTTGTTCCTGGGTTATAAACATCATTTCTTAATTGGTTCTGTCATTAAAAACATGGAAAAAGTCCACAAACTTTCTTTTTGTGGGACATCCTGCAGGACATTATGCTAGTTTTTCAGTGTTCTCATTGAATCTCAGTCAATTCAATATAGTTTGTGTCAGCCAGAAAAACAATGTTTCCAGAGTATAACAACTACTTTAAAAGTAAATACCACACAATTAAACAAGAAATATTTACTTATTTACTTACTTATTTATTTACAGCATTTGTATACGGCCTTTCTCAGCCAGAAGCGACTCAAGGCAGTTCACAGTGGGCAGCGATTTGATGCCATAACAAATATCAAAATATAGTTAAAACAATTATAAAAACAATTCAACATTTAAAATGTAATATAAAAGAAACAATAATATCTATAAAAAACAAGATCCTCGGTGTCTCCTTGCTGGAATCGTTGTCCAATTACATCATCAGTCATTCCATACTTCTGTTTTTGTCTAATTATGCTCCAATAGTAAAAGCTTGCTCAAAGAGCCAGGTCTTAACCATTTTGCGGAATGTTAGAAGGGAGGGATCTAATCTTATATCCCTGGGGAGGGCGTTCCATATCCGAGGGGCCACCACTGAGAAGGCCCTGTCTCTCGTCCCCGCCAAACGCACCTGTGAGGAAGGCGGGATCGAGAGCAGGGCCTCCCCAGACAATCTTAAAGTCCTAGATGGTTCATAAGGACAGATACGTTCGGATAGGTAAGCCAGATCAGAACCGTTTATATCACTTTTAAACCAGAACAGAAATCTTTTCAAATATTGTTACGTAGTGTTGTAGTTGCATCATTTTTGTTTTTTTGCAGAAGAAACCAAAAGCAGAGAAGAAGGAGAAGAAAGATCTTGGGGTCATAAGTTATAACATCTCAACTAAACAAGGGGAGAAAAAAGGTACTGTGAGGGTGGGCACTGGTGCATGCAGAGTAATTATAAAGGGGATTGGAGGCCTTTGCCCCGTGTTGTATGTAGTAATGAATATACCCGGATAGCGTGGATCCTCATATCAGCAAAATAGTGGCACCTATGCAAGACGGGATTGCAGTGGTCAGGGGATGCCAAGATTTGGTGCCTGTTTTTGCTCACTTGCCTAAACAAATCTCAGAGGAACTGTTTTGTAGGTAAACATGCACAGGTTCCTAGTCTGCCTTAAAAAAAGAAAGAAAGAAACCTTGAGTCTGGGTGATGAAATTTCAGTGGATAAAGAAGGACTGAATTGCTTCATGTCTCCTATAATAGCCTTTTGCATTTTTATACCAGGCAAAAAGGGAGAATAGAAGCCTCGCAGTGTCTTCCCCTGAATCCTAGTTAGTTTCTAAGTTGTTTGAGGAAAGTGGTCTTTCTTTCTGTTGTCAAAAGATTTCATGGCTGGAATCACTTTGTTGCTGTGAGTCTTCCGGGCTGTAGGGCCATGTTCCAGAAGCATTCTCTCCTGACGCTTTGCCCACATCTATGGCAGGCATCCTCAGAGGTTATCAGACTTCACAACCTCTGAGGATACCTGCCATTGATGTGGGTGAAATGTCAGGAGAGAATGCTTCTGGAACATGGCTACACAGCCTGGAAAATTCACAGCAATCCACTGGTCTTTCTTTTTTCTCACACTCACATCCTTTCTGCTTTCTCCTTCCTTCCAGATGTGACTGCCTCAATGCCTGATTCCTACAGCCCTCAATATGTCGAAGCTGCTTGGTATCCATGGTGGGAGAGCCAGGGCTTTTTCAAACCAGAGTATGGGGTGAGTGTGGACTTTTTGTGTTGACAAAGGAAGAAATCTCCATGTCCGTTTAGATAATATTGCAAGTTGGTTTGTTTGTGAAGGAATGGGTGGTTTACATCTATCACAACAGTAGTACACACTCTTGTTACATCCCAAATAGACTACTGCAGTGTGCTCTACGTGGGTTTGCCCTTGAAGACTGTTCAGAAGCTGCAAATGGTCTAACGGGCAGCAGCCAGACTGCTCACCAGAGTGGTGTACTCATACAAACTCCCTGTTGCATCAGCTCCATTGGCTGCCAGTCTGCTACTAAGCACAATTCAAAGGGCTGGCTTTAGCCTATAGATCCCTAAACATTTCTGGTCCATCTTACCTGTCCGAATGCATCTCCCTTAGCCACTTAGAGCACTAAAATTGGCTGAGAAGGTCCTCTCTCAGTCCCACCGCCTTTGCAGGTGTGATTGGTGGTGGGCCCTTCTCAGTGGTGGCCCCTCAGCTGTGGAAATCCCTCCCCAGTGAGATCACATCAGCCCCCTCCTTCCTGGCATTTAGAAAACAACTTAAATCTTGGCTATTCAAGAAAGCATTCGGGGAGTGATAGCAATATTGAAGTAGTTAAATGACAACCTCGGGATCTGTGGAGTGTTTAAAATGTTTTAAAATGTTATGTGTTTGCCCATGTCTGATGTTTTTATAGTTTTATAGTTTTACTCTATGGTTATATGTTACTGATTTAAATATGTGGTGTATTTTTAATATATATGAGGCATTGAATCTTGCCATTTATTATGTTGTACACCACTTCAAGTCCCCACAAGGGTGAGAAAAGCAGTATAGAAATACAATAAATAAATAAATAAACAATGCGGGATCAGTGACTTAAGCTTCTTTTGGCTTTCCTCTTGAACTTAAACAGTAACCATTTTTGTACCTTGTATTATTATGAAAATGGGGCTCCAGCAGTTCACACTCTATCCTATAATGAGTCCTGTGAAGCAAACTTGAAATTATTTCTGTTTTTGTAGATTTTCAGCAGACATGAAAAAGTAGCCTGTGATATTTTTCATTCAATCAATCTGACAATTGGATAAATGTGTCTGAATCCCATTTATAGTTGTCCCTCCATGTCTATGGATTCTGTATCTATGTTTTGAATCATCCACAGCTTGAAAATAGTCTCCCTTCCCTCCCCAAAACTAATCCAAAGAACATTAATTTTATCATTTATATAAGGGACACTACTGTAAATAATGGGGTTTGAGCATCCACAGATTTTGGCATCCTTGGGGTCCTGGAATCAAATCCCAGAAAATACCCTGTAGTTCATTTTCTTTCCCATCTTATTCTTACAGCATGAATTAAAACGAATTGCAGCTCAAAACCTTTTGAGAAGATACGCACCTCCGATAACAGTTGGGCTTCTTCTTTCTCACAAAATCTATTTTCCTTTGTTAGCGTCGCTGTGTCTCTGAGCCAAACCCCAGAGGGATCTTTATGATGTGTATCCCACCACCCAATGTCACGGGATCGCTCCATCTTGGCCATGCACTCACCAACGCCATCCAGGACTCCTTGACTCGATGGTGAGGCTTCTATAAGAACCCTTTGTTTCTTCTGCTCTGTCACTGAATCAGGCAGCTTTTTTTTGTTAGAAAGGGTACCGTAGCTGGGAAAGAGTTTCATTTTTCTAGTAAAGAGATCCTGTACTGTCATTCCATTGCTGGGAAAGTTCAGTATGTCCAAAACTGGAGCTCTTTTTCAAAATGTAGCACTGTGAGACTATAGGGCAACTGATACTCAGGAAGGTCTCTCTCCCCCATCATCTTATAGGCACAGGATGAAAGGGGAGACCACCCTTTGGAACCCAGGCTGTGACCACGCTGGTATCGCTACCCAAGTGGTAGTAGAGAAGAAGCTTTGGAAGGAGCAAGGGAAGACACGGCATGACCTTGGGCGGGAGCTGTTCATTAAGGAGGTCTGGAAGTGGAAAAATGAGTGAGTTTTCATGTTGACCGCTCTAACTGAGCTCTTGTAGGTGTCGATGTGCTATGTCACCCCTCTGATACAAGTGTGTTAATTGCAATATCCTTTAGATATTACTGCTCTGTAATGCCCATCAGCTCTGGCTGGCATAGTAAATGGTGAGGAGTGCTGGTGGTTAAGTTGAGAAAAATCTGGATGTATATCAAGCATGCTTTAAGATCATAATGCTTTTTATGTCTCTTCTCTTGCAGGAAAGGGGATCGGATTTATCATCAGCTGAAGAAGCTGGGTTCCTCAATGGACTGGGACAGAGCCTGTTTTACCATGGATCCTGTAAGATCTGTTCCAGGGGAGATTTGTATGTTTCTGTGTGTGTGTGTGTGTGTGTGTGTGTGTGTGTTTCTTGACCTTCAGCATCCTTGTCACAATCGCTCCATTGGTGCAGATCAGTTTCCAGTTGTTGTTGTTGTTGTTGTTGTTGTTGTTATTATCTTTATTTTTATACTGCCTTTCTCCACATAGGGACTCATGGTGGTAGCTAACAATAACATGATACAACACAATAGAATTTAGCAACAAAAACAAAACAAAACATATACTATCTATACTTGCATATAAGCTGAGTTTTCAGCCCTTTTTTTAGGCTGAAAAAACCCCCCTCGGCTTATACTCAAGTCAAAGTTATTTATTAGTTTACTCTGTTGTTATTATTATTATTATCACATTTATTATTTTACTCTATTTATTATTATTATTACATTCACATTATTTTACTCTTATTATTTTATTACATTTATTATTTTACTCTGTTATTATTACATTTATTATTTTACTCTATTATTATTGGAAGGATACATAAGCACATGTAAATAAATAAAATAAATAATGGGTTGTTGTAGGTTTTTTCGGGCTATATGGCCATGTTCTAGAGGCATTCTCTCCTGACGTTTCGCCTGCATCTATGGCAAGCATCCTCAGAGGTAGGGAGGTCTGTTGGAACTAGGAAAATGGGTTTATATATCTGTGGAATGACCAGGGTGGGACAAAGAACTCTTGTCTGTTGGAGCTAGGTGTGAATGTTTCAACTGACCACCTTGATTAGCATTTGATGGCCTGGCAGTTGTTTGGTGTGGCTTGTTTGTGCCTGGAGGCAATCTTACATCCATGGGCACCTGATGAACCAACCTGGACACAGCATATTATTTGAGAACACAGAAATGCTGGACCACTCTCACAACCACCATGTCAGACTACACAGAGAAGCCACTGAAATCCACAAGCATGTGGACAATTTCAACAGAAAGGAGGAAACCATGAAAATGAACAAAATCTGGCTACCAGTATTAAAAACTCTAAAATTACAACAGCACAACAACAGAGAGGAAACAATCAAGGACATCTAATCACCTTTCAACAAAAGATTGCCCCAGGCAGCAACGACACACCAAACAACTGCATATGAATACATTAAAAAATATTTGTGTGATGAATACAAAATTTAAAATACAATAGAATGAAATTACATTTAAGAACTAAACATCCCTCAAAAGTCCCATCCATTTGAAGTGCTGGTTTTGACCAGCAAAGCCCTATCCTGCTCAGATCTGAGTTATTTAAAGGGACATATTTGCCCTTGTGAACCTGTCCACATTTTGAGATCTCCCAGGAAGGACCTTTTCTCCCTCCTCCCAGGCACATCTGTTGTGGACACAGGAGAGGGCCTTGTTGGTGGCTGCTCCTAGGTTGTTCATGGAACTACCTTTCCAAACAAGTTACACTGGCATGCTCAACTCCCTTTCTGTCAACATGCAAATCATTTTTCTATTTCACCAAGCATTTGATTCTTTAGGTGGGATGGTCCTTGCACTGTTATGCTGTTGTGTATTTTTTATCATTTATTGCAAAAGCAGTGGTCCAGTATTCATGTAGTATGAAAAAAAAATCCATTTCCAGTTGAGTAAATGTAATTATGCCAATATTTATTGGAAGATGGAAAAGACTAAATGGAGATTACTTCTTGTCTTGATTTGCCAACAGAAACTTTCTCGTGCTGTTGAAGAAGCGTTTATCCGATTGCATGAAGAAGGGGTCATCTATCGCAGCAAACGCCTGGTCAACTGGTCATGCACCCTAAACTCCGCCATCTCTGATATAGAGGTGATTGGGATGTGGGAGGGGGAGAGTGTATGAAGGGTACAACTTACTAAGTAAACAAACCCTAATTAATTCTGATACCTTCCTTTTCTCAGGTGGATAAGAAAGAGTTAACAGGCCGAACTCTCTTGCCTGTGCCTGGCTACAAAGAAAAAGTTGAATTTGGGGTGCTAGTCTCCTTCGCCTACAAGATCGAGGGCTCAGGTTAGTAAGGCGTCCAGGTTGATACTTTGGCTGGGAACATGATCTGGTGGACCATTTTTTTTTCTCTTCCAGAAGTTGTCAGACCTCTGTCTGCTTCTGCTAGCAGTAAGGAATGCTAGACATTGCCTTCTGCCAACATCTGGAAGACCAGAGGTGGCCTACTTGTAATTTGGAGCCTTTCTTTTTTACTCTTTCACCCGTTGTTTTCTTCCTAGATGATGAAGTGGTGGTGGCGACAACCCGTATTGAGACCATGCTGGGGGACACAGCAGTTGCAGTTCATCCTCAGGATCCTCGATACAAGGTGAGAAACCCTACAAGTCAAGATACAGATGGATCACTTATAGTGGGATGGTTATAATAGTAATAATAAACTTTATTTATATCCCACCACCATCTCCCCAAAGGGGACTCGGGGCAGCTTACATGAGGCCAAGCCCAGTAGTGTAGTACAACAAAATAAAACCAAAAACACAAAGCAAACATCGCAATAAAGTAAACAAAACATAAGAATTCAATAAAACAGTGCAAAAATACAATCACAATGAGCGGGCCACATGAACAAGATAAAATGATAAAAACTCAGGATGAGATAGAAATGGAACGGGAAATATTTGTGTGGGAGAGAATAGTTGGAAATGGAGTGCTGTAGATAAGCCTTCGAACTGGCAGGGGAGAATACAAATAATAGTGAACCCTACTGAACAACTTCTAGCAGAAGCATACCACACAGTCTCACTGATGGACTTAGGAAAGAAGGAAAGAAGAGAGAGAGGAGGAAGGACAAAGAGAAGGAAGGAAGGATGAAAGAGAGGATGGAAGGAGAAAGAGAGAGATAAGAAGGTGGGTAGAGAAATAGAGAGGAAGAGAGGGGAAGAGACATAGGAAGATAGTTAGAGAAATAGAGAGAAATAGAGAGGAAGAGAGAGAGATAAGAAGATAGGTAGAGAAATAGAGAGGAAGAGAGAGAGAGGAAGGGAGAGAATAATTGGAAACAGAATGCTGGATACAGGCCTTCGAACTGGCAGAGGATAAACATTTTAGGGGAGTGGACAAAGGAGATGTAAGGTCACTCTCCAAAGGCGCAACGGAAAAGCCAGGTTTTGAGATCCTACTTCGTAGTCTTCCAGAAGTTGGTAGAACTTCTACTACCCTCAATTTACCTCAATTTATCGCAAGCGCGTCTGGTGGGGACGAGGGACAGGGCCTTCTCGGTGGTGGCCCCTCGACTCTGGAACTCTCTCCCACTGGAGATCAGAACCGCCCCATCTATCCTGACATTTAGGAAACAGGTGAAGACTTGGTTATGGAGACAGGCATTCGACGAGTGAGCCAACACCCTGAGATATGGATGGAGGATGATGAGCAACGATTTTAGTGTGACGACTGATCATTATAGTTATTGATTGTAATTGCTGTTTTAATGTTTTACTGTAATATGTATTATGATGTTTTATTGATTGTATGTGATATTATGGTTGGAAACCGGTCTGAGTCCATCAAGAGAGGTGAGAAGGCCGGCATACAAAACTTTTAAATAGATAAATAAATAAATTGATTCTTGGCAAGAACCACTGGTGTTTGGAGCCCAATAACATCTGGAGAGTCATAGGTGTTAGTAAAAACTACCCTAAAATATAGCAGAGCATCCAAAATACAAACAGGACATTTAAAGTTGAGCATCAGCTCACAGCATGTGAAGTGTGAAGTGCCATGTGATGTGGCTGTAAAGGATTTAGAGCTTAGGAGGCAAACATGCAGAGTTCTGTCTTTGAACATCACAAAAGGTTTATTTACAGTAATAAAGAATGGGATTTCTCAATGCTGAAGAACTGGGTCCTGAGCTACTTTAACATCCATCTCTTCTATGGTTTTAAAGAGAGGGGGGAAACCAATTACTACATCTCTCTGACACACATGCAGAGAGAGATCTCAAAGCACACAGCACATACTATGATGTAAGAAACAGAAGTCAGATTTAAAATGGCTTGCAGTAGAAAAGCATCCATTCTGCACAACCAATCAGAATGAGAGCAGAAACAGAGAGAACAAACTATTTATTTTATTTTATTTTATTTACAGCATTTATATTGCACTCTTCTCACTCCGTAGGGGACTCATGGCAGATCACAATGCACACATACAGGACAAACATTCAATGCCGTTTTTGACATACAAGACATACAGACAGATATAGGTCATTCAACAGTTATTCCACTTAAGATCCTGGAGGTTGCTCAATTCCATCCACAGGGGAGACCTCTTTCTCAGTTTTGTAAATACCTGTAATTTTGTATTTAGAAAGGAAACATAAACCATTTTAGGACCTTCAAAATGGGGGTGTGACTATTATGTAATTGGAATGCTGACTTTTTTAAAGCATTGTCTCTTCAAATGGTTTGGGTTAACTTCAGTAAGCCTTTTCTTCTTCTTCTAGCACCTTCATGGGCGGAGTGTTGTGCACCCCTTCACCAAACGACTTTTGCCTATTTTGTGTGATGACTTTGTAGACATGGAGTTTGGAACTGGTATGTCTGTGGCTAGTGGCTGGTAGACACAGCTGTGTGCATCCTGATTTTAAAACTTAACAACTCTGTTGGGTGTGGATTGCTTCCATATATTAGGAGGATTGTGTTGAAATGATTCCACACAAAGAGCATCCTGTAAGTGTTCACACATGCATGTGGGTATATATACTGGGATGGTTTTA